CTTCCTTGCTTACTTCCTTGCTTACTTCCTTGCTTACTTCCTTGCTTGCTTCCTTGCTTCCTTCCTTCCTTGCTTGCTTGCTTACTTGCTTGCTTGCTTACTTGCTTGCTTGCTTCCTTCCTTCCTTGCTTCCTTCCTTACTTGCTTCCTTACTTGCTTACTTACTTACTTAGTTACTTACTTACTTATTACTTGCTTGCTTACTTACTTACTTACTGACTTACTTACTTACCTACTTACTTACTTACTTACTTACTTACTTACATTATCTACACTCTGTTTCCGAAAATGTACGAAATGAGTCGAGGAAAACTCCAGATCCTCCTCAGTCTCCAACTAGACGACGGTTGGCCCGAGAGCGAGGCATGTAATTGTCCAGCGCTGTCGAAAAGATGTATAGAAAGAGAGAAAGAGAGGGTGGATGTGAAGGAGTGACAGTGTGGATGTGCAGGTGCGATATAGATCTGTAGTGGGTGCACAGATGTGATATAGATGTGCAGATGTGTGGGTGTGGTGAGGTGGAGAGGTAGATCTGCGGATGTGAGCGTGTGAAGATGTAAATGTAGAGAGGTGAGGGGGTGTAGACGTAGATGCGTCGATGCAACGGCAGCGCAACGTCAACCTTAGTTGCGCAAGTACAACGCTGAAGAGGTTCAATTAGAACTGAAGAACGTACATTTCACACTGAAGTTTCCACGAACAGGGCGACCTGAGAGTAAACGACGTCACGATCATGACAAGCGACTCGTGTATTCCAAGCGAACATCGTTTGTCATGAAGGTGGAGTACACACATACTAACGTCACGATGACTCTTTTGTCACAGCCACTTATGCGTAAGCAAAGTAGCTAAAATTTGTCAACCTCTCAAGAGAGCCGGTTGCGCGAGAGATGACTCAGCCGTGAGAGATGACTCATCCGCGTACTAAAGTTGTACTACAAAGTCGCCAGTTCTCAGCTTCCAGCTCCACAGCCTGCTCCGCGTACTAAAGTTGTACTTGCAAAGTCGCCAGTTCTCATCTTCCAGCTCCCCAGATACTCCGCGTACAAAAGTTGTAGTAGAAAGTCGCCAGTTCTCATCTTCCAGCTCCACAGCTTGCTCCGCGTACTAAAGTTGTACTACAAAGTCGCCAGTTCTCATCTTCCAGCTCCCCAGATACTCCGCGTACTAAAGTTGTACTAGAAAGTCGCCAGTTCTCATCTTCCAGCTCCACAGCTTGGTCCGCTACTAAAGTTGTACTACAAAGTCGCCAGTTCTCATCTTCCAGCTCCACAGATTGCTCCGCGTACTAAAGTTGTACTAGAAAGTCGCCAGTTCTCATCTTCCAGCTCCCCAGCTACTCCGCGTACTAAAGTTGTACTACAAAGTCACAGTCGCCAGTTCTCATCTCCCAGCTCCCCTGATACTCCGCGTACTAAAGTTGTACTACAAAGTCGCCAGTTCTCAGCTTCCACCTCCCCAGATACTCCGCGTACTAAAGTTGTACTACAAAGTCGCCAGTTCTCAGCTTCCAGCTCGCCTGATACTCTGCGTACTCAAGTTGTACTACAAAGTCGCCAGTTCTCAGCTTCCAGCTCGCCTGATACTCCGCGTGCTAAAGTTGTACTACAAAGTCGCCAGTTCTCATCTTCCAGCTCCCCAGATACTCCGCGTACTAAAGTTGTACTACAAAGTCGCCAGTTCTCATCTCCCAGCTCCCCAGATTGCTCCGCGTACTAAAGTTGTACTACAAAGTCGCCAGTTCTCAGCTTTCAGCTCCACAGCTTGCTCCGCGTACTAAAGTTGTACTACAAAGTCGCCAGTTCTCATCTTCCAGCTCTCCAGATACTCCGCGTACTCAAGTTGCGCTACAAAGTCGCCAGTTCTTTGCTGCCAGCTCCACAGATCGCTCCGCGTACTAAAGTTGTACTACAACGTCGACACGCACGATCTCCGCAGAGGGTTGCGCCGGACCGGGACATCGCACTCTCGCCTGCATTTCGTGCCCTCGACGCGCACGATCTCTGCAGAGATCTCACTCTCGCCTGCATTTCGCGCACTCGACGCGCACGATTTCCGCAGAGGGTTGCCCGCGACCGGGACAAATCGCACTCTCGCCTGCATTTCGTCCCCTCGACACGCGCGATCTCCGCAGAGGGTTGCCCGCGACCGGGACAAATCGCACTCTCGCCTGCGTTTCGGGCACTCGACGCGCACGATCTCCGCAGAGGGTTGCCCGCGACCGCTCGCCTGCATTTCGCGCCCTCGACGCGCGCGATCTCCGCAGAGGGTTGCCCGCGACAAAACCAAATCGCACTCTCGCCTGCATTTCGCGCGCTCGACACGCATGATCTCCGCAAAGGGTTGCGTTTCGTGGCGGTCCGGCGGCACTGCCCCCGGCCTTAAGAGAGAAAGTTAAGAAGAGCGAGAGGTGAAGATGTGAGATGTAGATGTGCAGATGTGAAGATGAGCAGAGATGTAGATGTGTGAAGATGAAGAATGAGCTGAGATGTAGATGCGAGGATGTGAAGATGAGCAGAGATGTA